AAAACATTGCGTTCCAAGAAAAACATTTACTACCCACTGTAAAATGTGGTGGAGGTTCCATCATGCATTGGGGCTGCGTTGCCAAAGCTGACTCTGGGAATCTTGTTAAAGTTGAGGGTCACATGGAATCTACTCAATATCACCAGATTCTTGAGAATAATGTCAAGAACCAGTTATGAAGTTGAAGTTATGCAGTGGATGGATATTTGAGCAAGACAATGATCCAAAACACCGCTCCATATCTACTCAGGCATTCATGCAGAGGAACAATTCCAATGTTCTGGAATGGCCAGACCTGGATATCATTGAACATCTATGGGATGATTTGAAGCAGGCCGTCTGTGCTCAGCGACCATCAAACTTAACTAAACTGGAATTCAGGATCCAGGAACTCAAAATCTACAGGAAGCTACAATAAGCTGATGTTTTTGCCAAAAGGAGGCTCTACTAAATCTAAATGTCCCTTTTTTGCTGAGGTGCCTATATTTTTGCACCTGTCAAAGTTTGTTTTAATGCGTACTGCACATTTTCTGTTAGTTCAATAAACCTCAATTTAATACTGAAATATTACCGTTTCCATCAGTTATTAGATCTATCAAACTGAAATAGCTGCTGCAAACACCCAAATATTTAGAAATAAAAATAATTAAGATTAATAGGGGTGCCCAAACTTTTTCATATGAGTGTATCTGTCTCCTTGAACCCCAGCCAGCCTCCTTCTGCTGGAGGTTTCTTTCTGTTCAAAGGGAGTTTTTCCTCTCCACTGTCGCTACAAGCATGCTTAGTGTAAGGGATTGCTGAAGAGGCAATGAGTCGATGCAATCGACTAGTTTTCCTTAGATAGAAACTTTGAATCAGTTGACTGAATGATCTGGTGAACTGTAGAGTGAGTTGAGATGAAATGTGTTGTTAATTGGTGCTATAGAAATAAACTGAATTTAATTTAATTAATCTAATCAGTTATTAGAACCTCAAACACCTCTGAATCTAAACTTTGAACTTTAGCCATCAGAGGAGCTCAGGATGACAGAAACCATGTAAATCCGGACAGTGACCCTCTGTGAGCTTCAGGAACCAGAGGAGGATCAGGCTCAGCTGATCAGGCTTCTTCACAGAGATGTCTGTCAGTCTCCTTTCAACGCTCCCCCTGTTAGAAACTGTCCTACTATCTGCTGGTGAAGATTCTCAGTCCTACAGGTCAGAGTCATTCCAAAAAAGGAAGAAAAAAAAAACAATCCACTGGTCGTCTTGCTTCGCATCCAGGAAGCTTTTTCAATTCAAATGTCAGAAATAGAGTTGAGTTCAAAGCTTTATAGGGTGGACCAAAAAAAAAAACAGCCTGTTTTTAGTTTAGAAAACATACCAAATGAACGAGTTCAGTCCTTTGGAATGGGGGTCGTTTGGCCTCTTTGTTAGCCTGTAATGCCCCATACCTCTTTATGTCTCTGAAAGGGAATTGTTGGCCTGGCTGAACAGGCCAGGTCTTCTGTTCCCCTGTAAAGGAGTTGGGGTTGGGATGATAGCGGGAAGGAGTAAACTCCATTAATGAATTGTAGGTTTTGAAAGATGAAATGTGAGTCCATCCCCTCTGAGACTCTGAGGTGCATCTACACCTTATGAACAGAGGAAGTTCTTTTGAGGACCAGAATGTTCACATTTTGGACAGAAAATCATTGGTTTGAGAGCAATGTGAAG